ATTTTCTAGTGCAGAAATCTTGGACTGCCATTGCTTGGCTAGAACAAGAGTCAGGAGAAAGAAGAAGAAAAATACAGAGCTGAAACTCACCAGCATCCAGGAGAGTCATGTTAGAAGACATAACTGAGCACGACAGAGTAGTCCGAAAAGCAACCAGCTCGTCATGACGGAACTCGGCCATGAGCTCGAGTAAGCGGTCGGGAGTGGTGTAGCAGCAGGGTTTGCCTGGATTAAGCAGACAGAAAGCGCAGGCATCACCAACGCCATAGCGATAGCAACGAAGGCCAAGAAGTGCGCAGTTGGCGCAAGAAGAAAATTTCTGGTCGGAAAATCAAAAAAATTTGACAAAATATAAGCAAAGGCGACGCACCGGGGGACAGAAATTAAGTGCTGACTCGACGTCGTCGATCGTAGCGCGTTCGCGGAATTTAGAAACCTGAGGAAGAACGATGTTGCCTAGGCCATCAACTGTGCAAGGGGCAAAGCCGGGTGGTGGGAACGGGAAGCGAAAGGACGAGTCAACAGGGTCGAAATCGGGAGTATATGGCGGTAACAGGACCGAGGAACGCGTCGGCGAGGACGCCAGCCAGCCCGAAGGGATATGCACCCCAGGCGAGATCAACGGCGAAGATGGCGCGCTGGAGAGACCAGAAACCAGTAGGCTAAGCGGCAGCGCCGGGCGGCGGTCGAGCACGCGCCTTAGAGGCCGGAGAGGACGATGGGGAAGTCGTTGGCCGGGTGGTGAGGTAGGACGAGGCAATGGTGGCATCCGCATGTTGAGTAGGCTGACGATACAGCCGTTCGCGAGTGGCTGGGAACGGCGTGATGACTGGGGGCGCCGGACGCGACCACAGAGGCAGACAGAATGGCATGGGGGAAGGGAAGCAAGGGAGGAGCGATCCACTCACCTTTTTAAGTGAAAAGACCCACTCAGTGGCGATCTCGAGAAGAAGCGGAAGTGTCATCTGTCAAAAAGTTAATCAACAAGGAAGACCTACGACTTTGGGTAACTGTCACACCGGACGCGGGCCGGCGCGTGGTCAGGAAGACCGGCGGCGGATTTCGGCCTAATCGGTCTTATTCGGACGCGCTGGGTTCAAAACAGAAGGCATAATATCATGCAACATAATTTAAATACAAAAATAACAACATGAGCAATGAGCAGCAAGTATCAACGATGGCGCGGTTAAGATTCGAAACGCGAATCCAGAGCAAGGCATATGACGCGGGCCAGGTGGTCGGATTCGCTCGACAACGACGCGAGGTCTGTGTAGCCCTCGTTGCCGAACGACGAGAGCAAAGAGGAAAGAAACTAGAGAAGGGTCAGCTGGAACAAAATGAGCAGCATAATCCACACCTCGAACAGTGCGATCGCGCCCTGGACAGTTTGCTCTACAAGATCGAGAGCGTAGTTGCGACAGATAGCTGTTAAGGATTAGTGGAAGTGGTAGTCGAAGAAACAGGGACCTACCAAGCTGGTCTGCATCGGAGACTTGGTTCTCCAGTTCAGTCCAAAGCCCCACTACCTCTTCGTGGCGCCACTCTTGAAGCGAGAGAAGGAACAAGTCGGCGTTGACGAACGAACAGTCGTCCTTGCATCCGAAGACGCAGTTTGCGCAAGGGATACCGTTGGAGCGGAAGCGGCAAGGGAGACTGTTGGCAACGCAATACGCGCACTTGGCGAGGGCCTGAACACAAAGGTTAGCAAAGAAGATGGAGAAAATGCGAAATGTGCACGCACCGTGCCACGAGAGTGGATAGCGCGGTAGACGTCAGGTGTGTTGGCAGCGCGCGCATGTTCGTGAACGCGCGGGAAGACTCGCTCGCCCGTTGGGGCCGGTCGACATCTCCAGAGGAACGGAGGTCGCCGGGACTTGAGAATCTACAGCCGAGGAGTAGACCGGGCTGTCGCAGAAGGATGAGGGGTCGGAGACGAAGAACGTGGAGTCGAAATAAGTGGGATACACCATTAGCATTCGGCGGGAACGAGCAAGAAAGCAAGCTGAAAGTGGGGGCTGAAAGTCAAGGCCAGCAAGAGGCCGCCTATAAATGCCAGCTGGCGGCGGCGCAGCAAAAGTCAAATCACATCAATCAGAATTTCTAAAAGAAAGATGGTCAAGAAGCGTACCTTTTGAATTGAGTGAGGACACTCAAGATTTATTTTGGGGGGAGATGAAGAGCGCGTGATTCGCGCGCCCTTGGAATCAGCCAAGATGCCCACGAGGGGCATCTTTTGGAAGCACGACACCGCGTTAGCGGCGCGTGACCCGGAGATGCGGGGCGGACCGGCGCGAGAACGACCGGGGGAGCGGGGAAGCCTAGGCCGGGCGAACGTGTTCGCCGCTGACTGATGGAGGCGCTGGAACTGCCAGCGATTGGGCAGTGCCGTTAACGCGCAAGACAGCGAGGATGGAAGGGTGGGTGTGGAGCACCCGTGTGGAAGCGATAAGGACGCGTATGACGCGCGTCAGATGGCGGGAACGAGCGCCACAAGAGCGCGCGTCGGTGGACACGTGACCGAGCGACGGCGCTGCGGCGTAGGCCGATCACGGAGGCCGATCAAGGGGCCGGGCCGGCGGTGCTTCCGCCTCAACTCAGCGCTTCAAGGAGGTCCCCTTGGGACGAATTGGGTGCTTCAAGGGGAGCATTAAGCCCCTGAAATGGAGAGCAGTGTGTCAAGGAGGTAGGAATGGAGCGTTGGCGCGTCAAGGAGACGCGTCAAGGGGCTCCATTCTGGGGTAAAATGGAGAAGAGGCTGCGCTGGCCGAACGGGGGGCCGATCACGGGGTCGCGTCTCGGGGAGCGTACCAAGGAGGATCAAGGAGACAAATTAAGGAGGTGCCCGATTGTCGGGGCCACCCCGATGGTTTGGACGCTGACCAATGCTGGGCACCTTGTAATATAAATTGGGCATGCATTGTACTAGTACAGTAGTGAAGTTTGGCTTGCCCCGGGCCCTCGGGGTTGTGTTTTGGTTCCGTTACGTTGTCTCCGTTATCGCCGCTGTCTACGATCGTCTCCGTTATCGCCGTCTGGTCCGTTAAGTCCGTCTCCGCCGTTGTATTGTTCCGCCGTCGTCCCTTCCGTTCCGCTTCAAGTCTTGTGACCGTGTTCGATCCCGTGCCCCAAAGTTCAAGATTACCTAATCGCCTGCATTGCGCCCAATTACATAATCGACTCGAAATTGTTGTCTGAATTGCAACTGCTATATACTTTAGTAGGAGCCCCCGAACTTGCGCGCTTGTGAAAAACCAAACTACCCCAAATCAAACTCCGACGTGATCCGATTGATCCGACTGATCCGAAGCTCGGCATAGGTGGTTTAGGTCCCGAATAGGTTGTGTGTTGTGTTGTGTGTGTTTGTTTGTTTGTATTTGTGTTGGAGTTGGGTTTTGTGTGGTTTTGTGTTTCTCTTTTAGTGTCTGTGTGTGTTCACCATTCCAAGCGTTTCAGTGACAGCGTGCTTGACACCGGTGATGTGATTTCCGTGGAGAAATCAAATCATCAACCAAGTCACGCGCTACTTCCTTGGCTTGTCTTCACTCCCCCACCACGACACTTGTCGACGCGCTCCCCATCGATGAAGGTATGCTTGTTGGTGTCCCGTCACTGCCCTCACTCATCGCAACACCCACAGGACCTTCTTGGTCACCTTACTCGACCTCCAAGTTGAGCATTTCACAGCAACCTGGGCAACAACCAACTCTGGCGGCCCTTCCACTCATCCAGCGCCATTCTCTGCCTCCTGTACGTGTTGTTAACTGTAGACTTCGCAGGGTTCTGACCTGTCTGACAGACGAAATTCGTCGACTTAACCAACAACTTGAACGACTACCAAAACTCCTTAAGCCCGCTTCCCAGCAAGTTGTGGATGCCTTGCGCAAGCACCTGCAGGTCTGTATTCCTTCCTCGTGTGCCCGGGCCTGCCTCACATCATGCTAGTTTCCGTCGCCCGGGAGTGGGGGGCTCTGCTCGTATGTGGTAATCGCCGCTGCATCTGTTGGCCTTTCGGTTGGCGGAACCATTGTCGGTATGTTTCTCCCTTTATTGTACATGTATGCAACAGTGCTCTAACACGTCGATCAGATTGTCATTACAGCTGGCTACCGAATTTCTCGCCAGAGGGTGAACCTCTGCCAGTGCTCGGGTGACGAATTGTTCCCTGTAAGTTGTATTTACTCTTAACATGATAAGTGACTGATGTCCGACTTAGCCTCGAGCTGGTGTTCTTATAGACCGCAACCGGAACGGGGGGAAACTATGCTGGTCATCATCGCGATGGCGGCATTGCTCCTTCCGCTCGTTTCTGATGGGGAACCTTGCTTGCATGCGGAACAGCTGTTCGTATGTCCTTCCTCTTTCCTATATGTGATAATGTATTGACCTTCTAACTCAGATATGTGGTTGTCATTGGCTTCCGAGACTGTGAGCCTCTGCTCGGACGGTGAACCTCTGCTCGGACACCTCATTGCCGCTTGTAAGTTGACTCCGCCCTTGACATATCCTATGGTACTGAGGATGATCCAGTGTTGTTATTGACTGCGACTATGTCAAGAGGGGCAACCTCTGCTCGGGCCGTCTGTAAGTCGTCGCGCTTATATGTATATGATGTCATGCTCATGCCAGGCTTAGATTCCGTGTTGTTTTTGACAAGGTGTCGCTGCGCTAGCCAAAGTACATCCGTCTTTCATTGCTTATCTATATATCTGCTGACTGCCTATTCAGAGCTGACTACCCGTATTTGACCACAGGGGGAACCTCTGCTCGTATCCCCAGACCATCATTGGCCGCCATTCATGCGACACTACCATTGTGCGCAGGACCGACCACAACTACGACGTTCTCTAGAGGGGGGAACCTCTGCTTGGGCGGCATGTAAGTGGTCGCGCTTAGTTGTGTGATATGATGCTGATGCTAATGTGGGGCTTAGATTTCTGGTCGAGGCGGGGTTGCTATGAGCGCTGCTTCCAGAGGGGGAACCTCTGCTCGGATGCCGAACCATGCTGGTACGTTGTGATTTCATTTGTTCTGCTAAATGTCACTGATGTTGTGTCCAGATGCGCTATATTGCTTCTGCGTCGGACTTCCCGGGCAGTATCTTGGCCGTTTTTGGACTGCACTTAGCGCTTACGTAAGCACATTTGGCTGATCTTTTGATGGTCAAAAAGCTCATTTTTTCACAGATTTTCACTGCCAGAGGCCAATGTACCGCCCCGACTGCGGGGGCTTCCGGCGACGTGCTCGGTTTTGATCGACAACTGGTTGGCCGATGGTGCCGCCGCCCTCGGCATCGGTCGGATCTGATGCCATCATCAGATTTTGATGGTATTTTTAGGTGCATTTTTACCCACTTTTAACTGAATTCAAGGCTCACTTTTTCATAGGGTTTTGCCGCCGGAGGCATGTGTTACCGCCTGGCCATCAACCATGTCGGCACAGTGGGGCCACCACTGTTGCTGGCCGGGAGTATCTTGGTCATCGCCTACTGCCTCCGGCTTTCCCGACTTTACTCGGGCCTCCCGCATCATGCTCTGCGGTGCCTGTCGGCCATCCTGCCGATGACCATGAACGATATCGGCCACCACTGTTGCTGCTCGCCTATTGGCTTTGTCATTGGCTACCCAGTGTTCGCAGCCACATTGCGGCCACTTTTTCTACTACCTGCTCTCGCAACACCCGGTCATCGCCAGCCTCGATTGGCTCACCCGCACCACGTTCTGTGCTGGCCCCCGAGTTGTTGGCCTCCATCACATTACCCCTCGGCCATCTCACCCCGACATCGGCGTCCATTCATCTTACACCCTCTATCCTTGTCGCCCCGCAGCACACTTACCCCCGGCGGCCATACCCGGCCTACGCCCGGCCTTACTTGATTCGACAATGCCACTATCTGCGCTGGCCGCCGAGTTGTCACATAGGTCTTCCATTGCCTTGGCCGTCCGGCCTTCCGAGTCCGGCCTTCTTCGATATTCCCACGTGGCAGCGAAGTCATCCTCGCCGTCGTTTGACCCCGACCTGTCCCCGACCCTCGCGTCCGCCTGCAGGGTTGCTCACCGCTGGCCTTCAACGCTACGCTCTGCGCTGGGCGGTGCCGGGTTGTTGCTTGCCCTTTAACACATACTCCATGGGCTTTGCCGTCCCGACTCCCGCCTCCGAGTCCGGCCTTGACATTCGGAGTCCCTGCCCTGGCTCCGACTGGTCGCGCCTTATCGCGGCATCCCGCACGGTCAAGCAACCTCCCTTCCGCAATGGTATCCCCTTGCTGGCGGACATGCGCACATCAACGACGTTTTGCGCCGATTCTGATGGAGTTTCAAGGTGCATTTTCCACCTCTTTTGCGCGATTCAAAGCTTACCTTTTCACAGGTCCACGCCGCCGGCAGGCATACGTCCTGCCCTACTCGGAACACTACCAGGACAGTGTTGGACCACTGTCTTGCGCGGGGAAGAACCTTGACGCGTCCGCGGCGCTTTTGATGGTACTCCGGAGGGTACATTTTGCGTCTTTTTGTGCAATTCAAGCTCACTTTTTTCACAGGTCTGCGCTGCCGGGCAGGCAAACGTCCCGCCCTACTTGCAACGCAGCCGGGACAGTGTGGGACCACTGTCTTTCGCGGGACGTGTTCGGGGGTGACGGAAACTTTGCGCCGACCTGTTGCTGGAGAGCCCCCGCGGCGGTTTTGATGGCACTTTGGTGGAGGTGCATTTTTACCCCCGTTTTGCGTGCTTCAAGCTCATTTTTTCACAGGTCTCAGCCGCCGGAGGCCTGCGAACCGCTGGACTATCAACGCGCCCGGGACAGTGTTGCCCACTGTCGTTGACTTGGGCTATGTGGTGGAAATGGGGACTTGGGTTAGACGCGTCGCGACGACGCGTGTTAAATTAGCGCCTCGATGTACCTCTTAAAATAGAATTCCACCTTGTTCTCTGCTACCTATGCTTGCCCGGACTGCCCGAGAATGAGTAGCACCTTGTCTCCCCCAAACCATGCCCGAGACTGCCGTTAGACACGTCCAAAATCCATTTTTTTCTCTCCCCTACTAGGTTTATCTCGTGACTTTTTATAGGTCCGTGCGCTGAAAAAAAAGGTATATTAGAGTACGCTCTCGCTCGCGCGACTTGGCGAGCGAGCGCGACTTAGCGTTGGAGCGAGGCGTGCAAGGGGGGGGTAACATGTTATATAAGCAGATTTAATCAATCAAAATCAAACGCGCGGAGGACGCACAGACGCACAGACGGTGCACGTCCTGAGTCGAGGCGGAGGCGGAGGACGCACACACACGCACGCACGCACGTCGCGTCGTGTATACGCTCCACTCAATCGAAGCCTTGCTCGGTTGACCAAGCCAGCTTTGCTCTCCCCTCATCTTCCTCCTTTCCGCCTTGCTTCCGCCTCCTGCCCAGTCACTCCTTCATCTCGCCCACCAATCAACTCCGTCCTTGTTACCTTCACCCTTGTCTCTTCTGTTCTCACCCATGGCTGGATCGGTTCTGTTAGCGTTAGCGTGGGCGGCGCCAAGAAGCTCTTCAAAGGCAACGAGCCCACCGAGGAGCTGCCCAACGCTGCCTCCAGTGCCATCCGCCAACAACCTCCCTGTTAGTAAGCACACAACCTCGCAACCTGCAGCAAACACGCAAAGCTCGCCAGCCAAGTGGCCACCGTCGCTGCCGGTAGCAAGCTCGATGTGTTCTGGCAGACGCTCACGGGCTCCGGCTTCTGGTTCCATGATGTTGGTCCCATGATGGCCTATATGGCGGACTGTGGCGGCAATTGTGCTCAATTTGACGCCAGCAAGGCCAAGTGGTTCAAAATACAAGAACAGGGCATGGATGCGAGCGGTAAATGGGCTCAGGCAAACCTTGGTGTGTCGAATCCCATCCTCATGTTAAATCTCGTTTTGACTCACCGCTCCAAATAGACAATGGCTCTCCAGCGACCGTAACCATTCCGGCGAACCTCAAGGCGGGCAATTATCTCCTCCGACACGAAATCATCGCCCTCCACACTGCGCAGTCTCAAGGCGGTGCAGAGTTTTACCCTGGCTGTGTGCAGCTCAGTGTCACTGGCGCAGGCAAGGGTGTGCCAAGCGACAGCGAGACCGTCAAGCTTCCTAGCGCATACAAACCGACTGACGCTGGGATCCTCATTGACGTGCGGCCATTCATCATGCTTATTCGCTGTACTAACCCGTCCCCATCACCAGGTCTATAACATGAAGGGCGCCTACAAATTTCCAGGCCCAGCCGTGGCCTCTTTCATTGGTGGTGGATCTCCGGCCCCAGCACAGGGTGGCTCTGATGATAACACTACCGAGAAGCCGTCCTCCCCCGCCACCACAAAGAAGAGCACTTCCCCTCCTGCAAGCTCTACCACCAAGAAAGCTTCGTCTCCGGCTTCCTCTACCACGAGTGTCGCATCCGCGGTACCGACGAAATCTGGCTCAGCTTCCTGTCGGGCGAAACGTTCCCACCACCGCCGTCAAGAGGTTGTCGATGTCCGCGAGGAAGTCCGTCGTTCCCGGGTTCGCCACATGCATCGGGCTGGCGTTGCCCGTTCCTTCTGAGCACAGTTTTGCCATTGTTCCACCACAACCCCCGATTACTCCGTCCACATTATCTCCGACTCCCCTCCCCCAACAACTCCCGTCCATCCTTTACATGACCACGTCCCCAGACAGCACTGTCTCTTCTTGATACGAACCCGCTTTCCGACCCTTGCTTTGCACCTGCTCTCGTACCACGACCGTATCGCCAGGACGCGATGCTTGTAGTGCAGCCAGTCCTGCGCGCTTATGTACCTATCTTGATGCTTCGATAGTATTACCTTCGAGCTGGGCCCCATGTACTAGCATACAGGGCTAGAATCGAATCCTAGTTTTGATTTAGACTCAGTGTGGACAGCCTTTGGGGCTGAAGGAGCAACAGTTCAGAAATGTTGTCAATTGATTTTTCGGTGAGATACACAAGTTCCAGCGAATATACGAGCTCCAACTCCAGTATCTTGAATTAAGGTCAGCCTCGGCTTAATACGAACAAAGAAAAAAGACATACCACTTCCCGCCTGCATCGAGCGCGATGCCGCTATAACGCTGAGTGACGGATGTCGAGCGCGACCTGTGTATCAAGGTCAGCTTGGGGTAAATACGGAAAAAGCGCGAGATAACATACGACCAGGCGACAGTGAACCACATCCCGGCGTCATTCGTGCAGCGCAAGAGCCCAGCAAGACAAAAAGAACATCCCCCCGCGCGTTTGCGAGCTCTCCAGCAAGCGCATCCACCAACAGCTTGTATTAAGGTCAGCTGGGGTTAAATACAGTGAGAGAGCGACCAGAGACTGACCATCATCGAGCGCGAGGGCCGGTGTCCAGCAAGAACTGGGAGTTTGCTTCAGTTTCGCCCGACTTGAGTCAAAGACATGTACGCACCAGCAACTCCGCTCACGTTTGCCCTTCGACAAGGTGAGGCTACGGACAATAGCCATAAAAGACCGCGGCAGTGTCCACACGGCTGCGACGAACGATAAGTAAGATGCAAAGCGAAGCAAAAGGAAAGTCTCACCTCTTAGCATACCGCTGGCCAAACAACCAGCACTTTCACCGAGGCGTGCTAGTGCTGCAGCTGCGTCCCCGGCAACTACGAGACCCGCGGCCCGCCAGAGTGCGAGCGCGAGTACCATCCGCAATGGCCCGCTCGCTAACCCAGTGGACGCCAGACAAGCTAAACGACATGGCGGGCAAGACGAAGGAGCGTGGGACCACAACCGGCCGGCCGGGCGCGAGGCCCGGGCACGTGTCGCTGACCACCCTTGCCCGCTAGCCCACCGACGGACCTGCCCATGGCCCGGCCCGAGCTACGTCTTTGGCCGGCGCGCGGAAGCGCTCCAAGTCGGCAAGCAAGACGGCCACGAGCACTCAACTCGCACAACCACTAAGTAATAACAAATCAACAAAAGTCTCCCCGGCAGCTCAAAGCCGACCTTCCGCACTCGACCAGCATCACGGGCGGCTGCCTGTAGCCTTCCCCGAACCACTGCCGCCGCCGATTCCCGCCGAATCAACGTCGCTAACGAGAAGTCAGTCGGGGAACAGCGAGAAAGAGAAAAGACGCACGACACGCGGGGAACGATGCGGCCTCTGCGGCAACACAATGCCGCCCTCCCGCGATCGACCAGCTTCACTGGAAGCTATCTCCCGAGCCGCTGCCGCTCCCGATTCGCGCCAAATTGGCTATGCTAACTTGAATGTAGAGTCAGTGGATGAGAAAGCGGGAGGCAGAAACCACGCACGACAAGGGAGACGCAGAGGAGACCTGTCCATCGCGATAGCGCAGAATGTACAGCACGACCTTGGGCTTAAGGTAAGCTTGGCCTAAATACGGAAAATGACCGAGATGACTTACTGACAACAGCACACCCTCCCAACGTTCCGCATCCAGCGCGAATGCCCGCATCGTCAACGCGGAGCAGAATCTGTGGGTTCTGGGTCAGCTTTGCCCAATTTGAAAGATAAATGAGCATGATATGCCCCCGCTCACGTTGAGTGAACACGCAATAGCGCAGAATGTAGAGCACGACCTTGGGATTAAGGTAAGCTTGGGCTAACTACGAAAAATGACCGAGATGACTTACCAGACAACATGACATCCTCCCGCCGTCATTCGTGAGTTCCGCACCCAGCGCGTTCGGCGCAAATGCCCTGCATGGTCGACATGGAGCAGAAACTAGAAGTCGGGTCAGTTTTTCCCTAGTTTGAAAGGTATTCTCCTGCTCACGTTGGCGATTGAGCGATCGCGCGTGGAGGAATCTGCACAGCTTGGTCAGAAATATGGGCAGCAAAGTAGCTCTTGCGCAAACTTGGACCGAGAAATTCAGAGCAGTCGGATGCCCGATGTTGATCAAGAACCTGCAATTAGGTCAGTTTTGGCCAAAGCGGGCCAAGGAGCAAGACGGCCTACCGGTCCCGCTCGCAGAAGGAATAAATCGAGCTCATCTGCAACGCAAGCACCACTGACTCGGACGCAAAGGTTAGCCATGTCAAAATGGGCACAAAACAGCAAGAACATCGAGGTTTGTCGACGAGCAGGCCATCTAGGACAACCAAAGGCCCTCGCTCTTCAATACTATTCACGGCACTAACAAACAGTTAGAAAGCTTTTCGACAACGATGTTAAGGACACTCACGAGGGAGTTGAAACCGGGCGACAAGGCCAGAGGGCTGACCATATAGATATATGTATTGTCTAAGCGAAGACAATATCAGCAACGTTCAATCGTGATATCTGCAGACAAAGAAACTTACATACCATGCTTGAACAACGCAATGCTTTCTTGTAATTGGCGGACAACGATGCTTCTGGCCCAACTAGCACGGAAGTTTCTGATTCGCGACACAGGCTAGAGAAATTTGGATAAGATCGATAGAAATTGGAAGGGAGATGACACACCTTTGACAACGACAACAACGATAGCGACAGCAAATAGAACAACCTTGTTTGAGGCAGAAGACATAGAGTGACTGCAACAGGGTCACCGAAAGCAGAAGAGTCAACGAAGAGAACTCACCGACACCAGCATTGCTATCCAAGAGCCGTCCAGAAGCGAAGACAGTGGTCGAGTACCATGTGGGCAAGGGCTTGAGCAAGTGTTCAGGATAGTGTGAAAGAAAGAGTAGGTAGTAGACTCACCGGAGTGGACCGAGCCATGATGCGTGCCCATTCGCATAAACGCTTGAAGATCTAAAGTCCTGCGAGATGTAAGTAAAGCGCGTGAGAAACAGTGATATACAGCGTACCTGGGAGCAGTGTAGAGCTTGCTGAGGGCGTTGGTGTTGGCGTCGGCATGGGCACGGGCTTAAAGGAAGTGCTTCTACTAAGTAGTGGTCAGCATGCTGTCGCAAAACCAGAAACGCGTGCACGTGAGACATACCACGGCCCGGACAGGCTCCCTTTGCACTATCCCAAGGTCGGCCACTGCCCGCCACTGCCGACAGTCGCGTCAGAGGGTGGAGCGCGATTTCGATCGTGTTGGTTGGTTGAAAGTCGGGCGGGCACAGCCTCACACGGGTCGATCGATCACACGCTGACAGCGGCCTTACGAAAATTTCCCTCACACCCTCACTGTCCCCGACGATGGCGCCTCCGCCTCGGGGCCTCAGACGCTCAAGACACGGCCTTTACGCTGCCGCACATGACACGGCGGGCAACCCAGCCATCACGCTCGCAATCTCAAAATCTAACGGCAAAAACCATCCTCCGCCTCCCGCCAACACCTGCACCAGCCACCAAGACCATCGCCATGCTGCCGGTGACCATTGAGCGAGAACGGCCAGCGCTATCCAGACGCGGCAACTCGGCAGCTGCTGCTTTTCGCCAAAGATATCCAAACGAAGCCGTTTGTCGGCAGGAGGTAGCCGCCAACGCCAAACCAGGCTCGCTCGACACGTCCCTTGCCGCCAATGACTCCGCACCCATCTCCAAGGCTCTGCAAAATAAGGTCAGCGCTTCAATGTAGAGTCAAGTCGGCCAGAACACGTACCCCCTTGGATCGCAAAATCACCCTCCTCGACGACGACACCTTCCCAGCTCCATAAAACAAGTCCCGACCTAAAGCGACGGCATCAGTGAAATAAAAAGTCTACGACACCCTTCTGTGCTCGCAAAAGCAAGTCAAGGACAACGCATCGATTCTGTATATCTTAAGGTCAGTATTGGCAAAAGTCGCGGTAACAAGGCTTACCTCGAGAATTAGACCGTCCTCCCAATACGAACGCCCACGTCATTGTCGTCTGCCATAATGTCAAGCTCGATCTGGGTCAAAATTGGGGAGAGGGAGGAAGTGGAGGCGAGTTCTGCGATGCGGTTAGCGAGGGGGACAAGAGATGGCAAAAAGTGGACGAACTCTGACCAGAAACAACTTTCCCAACGCTGACCAACAAATGGGCGAACTGCGCGAAGACTCTGCAACAAGGTCAGTAAAGAAGTGTGAAAAGCAGTAACAAAACTTACCTTGACAAATAGACCTTCATTTCGATCCAAATGCCCATCTCGTTGTCGTCTGCCAACAAGTTAGCCTTGAAATGGGTTAGAAGCGGGGGAGGAAGTGGAGGGGAGCTCTGCGAGGCGGTCAGTGAGGAGGGCAAGGTAAAGCAGAAGGTGAACGGACGCTTACTCTCCCAACAACACGAGGGCGAAGATGTCAGCATGGTGCGAGGACTGCAACAACGTTAGTGAAGAAGCGAAGGACAAACAAAACGTGCGAGTGAAGAGCGATTCGAACGGTATGACGCCAACGAAAATGACTCTCCCAATGCTGACCAACCTAAGAGCAAGAAGATTCTGCAACAAGGTTAGCGAGGACGCGAAGGACGAGTAGGACCTGCGAGTAGAACCCGATGTGAGATGGCGGGATAGGATGGTGACTAGAAGTAGTTAGTAGTATGAATGGAACTTGAAAGAGTGCGACGACGACGACAGCGAAGAGCACGTGAAGTTGACTTTGGGTGCATGGTGGGGGGAAAGAAAGAGGGGGAGGTGCGCGATGGTTGAAGGCCGGGGCTTCTTATACTCCCTCGGTGACATACACCGCCCGGGCTGGATGCTTTCGTTATCTTCGCAAAATGCTGAGTGATCAAGTTTGGACTGAGAAGATGTCAGTTGACGACGGTTAAGCGAGCTATTTTGAGTGTCGCACTAGTTGAAAAACGTCCTTGCGAGTATCTCTGAGTCAAAAACCTGGATAGATTGAGCTCGTCATGGGCATGAAATCTAGATGTGAGGAAAACATGAACTCAGCGGAAGCTTGGTCAACTGGGCACTTGGGAGACGCAAATAAACGCGTCAAAACTCACGCAACGGATCGATCTGTCAAGTGGGGGCAGTGCGGCAGTTGACTTCTCAGCCCGTGCTTCATAACACGGGCATCAATGTGGGCAACATGAATCATTTGGGAAGATCGTATATTTCCGCCGTCGCGCAAGAAATCGGACAGCCATTCAGGGTAGGGCTGAGTGACCCTGACACTTTGACGTCTTTGATCGGACGAAATAGCCCCCAGCCGTCGAGACGATGCAGGATTTTGTAGATTTGCGTTTTTGCTCGAATAGTTTAGCATCGCGAGCGTGGATAAGGGTCGGACGCAGTGGATTACTTGGGGGTAGCTGTCATCTAAAAATAGTCTGAATTGAGCCCATGTGCAAGTGTCAAGGGCGACGAGTCCGAGCCCTACCGGGTGAATTGCCCGATTTGGTGGTGGATGTGAGCAGCTGATGGCGACACCAAACTGCGCGCTCAAGAAGAACGCGCGCCGCGCAAAAATTGGCGTATGGCGCGCTGAAAAGGCGTCTATTTCGGTGTCAAATGATATCAAAATTGGAGAAAAAAAGGAATTTCTCACTGTGTTGCGCAAATAAAAGATTTGAACAGCACGAGAGAAAACCCCCAAGAACAACAGCCAGCTAAGCAAGGAGACCATATCTGGCTGGCCAGCACGGGTATTCATGTTGTCATCATCCGGCCTGTCAGCCGTAATCTTCATTTCCTGTCTGCCGTGCTTCTCAAATTCCATCACAATAAGACCCTGAGTGCACTGCCTGTGCTCCATCGGCGGCGTTTGTTTTCCTGAGCCCCGGCGGCATTCGATTCCCTGAGCGGCCTCAGGGTATGTGGCCAAAAATAACTTCTATACGTTATCGGCCAGTTGCTCCTTTCCTTTCAGTAGCCCCATATGCCAGTGTCCCTCTCAGCATGCTTGCTCCTCCATGCCTGTGCACAGCTCAGAAGGCCCCCCAATGCTGGGGACCGTGACCAGGCCTGTGCGCATCAATGACGGGCCATCCCCGAAGGTCACCGGCGATCACCCCACCTTAAACCCGCCCGCCATTCCGGTCACTTCGGGTGTACTCCGCAGCCGCCCGTGGCCTACCTGCACTGAAGCCGTCCCCCTGGAGGTGTAGCCTTGCGCCACGTGTGGTAATCATGCAAGTCCGCCCTTTGCATCCACAGCACCAGCACAGGCAGCTAATTTTATCCCACCCCTCAAACCATTCCCCGTGCCGACTATTCGCCGACCCAGAATCGGTGACAGCGTGCTTGACACCGGTGATGTGATTTCCGTGGAGAAATCAAATCATCAACCAAGTCACGCGCTACTTCCTGGCTTGTCTTCACTCCCCCACCACGACGCTTGTCGACGCGTCCCCCATCGACAAAGGTATGCTCGTTGGTGTCCCGTCACTGCTCTCGCTCATCGCAACCCCTACAGCAACTTCTTCGTCACCCTACTCAACCTTCAAGTCGGGCATTTCGTGACTTTACAAGAAATCCCGGTTCGCAACAACCAACTCTGGCCGCTCTTCGACTCATTCAGCGCCATTCTCTACCTCCTGTACGTGTCGTTAGATGTAAACCTGGCAGGGTTCTGACTTCTCTGACAGATGGAACTCGTCGTCTTGACCGACAACAACCACCAAAACTCCTTAAGCCCGCCGAGCAAGTTGTCACGGTGGACATCTTGTGCACGCACCTGCAGGTATGTATTCCGTCCCTGTGTACCTGGAACTGCCTCACACCATGCCAGTTTCTGTCGGCGGGCAGTGGAGAGCCTCTGCTCGCTTGCGCTCGTTGTCATTGCCTCTGCTGGCCTTTTGGTTTGTTGGTATGTTTCCCCTTGACTGTATGCAATGGTGCACTAACATATCAATCAGGTTGTCGTCTCGGCGAGCTACTCAATTTCTCGCCAGAGGGTGAACCGCTGCTCGGGCAACGAAAATTTCCCTGTAAGTTACTGTTTTGCTCGCAACATGATAAGTGACTGATGTCCGACTTAGCCTCCGGCTGGTGTTGTTATCGACCGTGAACGCAACGAGGGGGGGGAAACTATGCCATTGCTGGTCAACATTGCAACGGCGGCGTTGCTCCTCCTGCTCGTTTCTGATGGGGAACCTTGCTTGCATGCGGAACAGCTAATCGTATGTCCTTCCTCTTTCCTATATGTGATAAGGTATTGACTTTCTAACTTAGATATGTGGTTGTCATTGGCTTCCGAGACTGTGAACCTCTGCTCGGACGGTGAACCTCTGCTTGGACACTTTATTGCTGCTCGTAAGTTGACTCCGCCATCAACATATTGTATGGTACTGAAGATGATCCAGTGTCGTTATCGACCATGACACGAGTATGTCAAGAGGGGGGACCTCTGCTCGGGCCGTTTGTAAGTTGTCGCGCCTATGTGTATATGATGTCATGCTAATGCCGGGCTTAGATTTTATGTCGTTTTCGACAAGGCGTCGCTGCGTTAGCCAAAGTATGTCCGTCTTTCATTGCTTATCTATATTTGCTGACTGCCTATTCAGATCTCGCTACCCGTCTTCGACCAGAGGGGGAACCTCTGCTCGTATGCCTGGACCGTCATCGGCCACCATCCGACACTACCGTTGCGCGCGGGACCGACCACGACACATTGTCTAGAGGGGGAACCTCTGTTCGGGCGGCATGTAAGTGGTCGCGCTTAGTCGTGTGATATAATGCTGATACTAATGTAGGGCTTAGATTCCTGGTCGAGGCGGGTTGCTACGAGCGCTGCTTCCGGAGGGGGAACCTTTGCTCGGACGTTGAAACTATGCTGGTACGTTGTGATTTGATTTGTTCTGTCGAATGTCACTGATGTTGTGTCCAGATGCGCTATATTGCTTCTGTGCCGGACTTCCCGGGCAGTATCTTGGCCGTTTTTAGGCTGCACTTGACGCTTACGTAAGCACATTTTGGCTGATCGTTTGATGGTCAAAAGGCTCATTTTTTTCACAGATTTTGTCGCCGGAGGCAGATGCACCACCCCGACTGCGAGGCTCGCGGCGACGTGCTCAGTTTTGATCGACAACGGGTTGGCCGATGGTGCCGTCGCCCTCAGCATCGGTCGGATCTGATGCCATCATCAGATTTTGATGGTATTTTTAGGTGCATTTTGACCCACTTTTAACTGGATTTAAGGCTCACTTTTTCGCAGGATTTTGCCGCCGGAGGCGTGTGTAACCGCCCGGCCATCAACCATGTCAGCACAGTGGGGCCACCACTGTTGCTGGCCGGGGAGTATCTTGGTCATCGCCTACTGCCTCCGGCTTTCCCGACTTTACTCGGGCCTCCCGCATCATGCTCTGCGGTGCCTGTCGGCCATCCTGCCGATGACCATGAACGATATCGGCCACCACTGTTGCTGCTCGCCTATTGGCTTTGTCATTGGCTACCCAGTGTTCGCAGCCACATTGCGGCCACTTTTTCTACTACCTGCTCTCGCAACACCCGGTCATCGCCAGCCTCGATTGGCTCACCCGCACCACGTTCTGTGCTGGCCCCCGAGTTGTTGGCCTCCATCACATTACCCCTCGGCCATCTCACCCCGACATCGGCGTCCATTCATCTTACACCCTCTATCCTTGTCGCCCCGCAGCACACTTACCCCCGGCGGCCATACCCGGCCTACCCCCGGCCTTACTTGATTCGACAATGCCACTATCTGCGCTGGCCGCCAAGTTGTCACATAGGTCTTCCATTGCCTTGGCCGTCCGGCCTTCCGAGTCCGGCCTTCTTCGATATTCCCACGTGGCAGCGAAGTCATCCTCGCCGTCGTTTGACCCCGACCTGTCCCCGACCCTCGCGTCCGCCTGCAGGGTTGCTCACCGCTGGCCTTCAACGCTACGCTCTGCGCTGGGCGGTGCCGGGTTGTTGCTTGCCCTTTAACACATACTCCATGGGCTTTGCCGTCCCGACTCCCGCCTCCGAGTCCGGCCTTGACATTCGGAGTCCCTGCCCTGGCTCCGACTGGTCGCGCCTTATCGCGGCATCCCGCACGGTCAAGCAACCTCCCTTCCGCAATGGTATCCCCTTGCTGGCGGACATGCGCACATCAACGACGTTTTGCGCCGATTCTGATGGAGTTTCAAGGTGCATTTTCCACCTCTTTTTGCGATTCAAAGCTTACCTTTTCACAGGTCCACGCCGCCGGCAGGCATACGTCCCTGCCCTACTGGAACACTACCAGGACAGTGTTGGACCACTGTCTTGCGCGGGGAAGAACCTTGACGCGCCGTCCGCGGCGCTTTTGATGGCACTCCGGAGGGTACATTTTGCGTCTTTTTTGTGCAATTCAAGCTCACTTTTTTCACAGGTCTGCGCTGCCGGCAGGCAAACGTCCCGCCCTACTTGCAACGCAGCCGGGACAGTGTGGGACCACTGTCTTTCGCGGGACGTGTTCGGGGGGTGACGGAAACTTTGCGCCGACCTGTTGCTGGAGAGCCCCCGCGGCGGTTTTGATGGCACTTTGGTGGAGGTGCATTTTTACCCCCGTTTTGCGTGCTTCAAGCTCATTTTTTCACAGGTCTCAGCCGCCGGAGGCCTGCGAACCGCTGGACTATCAACGCGCCCGGGACAGTGTTGCCCACTGTCGTTGACTTGGGCTATGTGGTGGAAATGGGGACTTGGGTTAGACGCGTCGCGACGCGTGTTAAATTAGCGCGCCTCGATGTACCTCTTAAAATAGAATTCCACCTTGTTCTCTGCTACCTATGCTTGCCCGGACTGCCCGAGAATGAGTAGCACCTTGTCTCCCCCAAACCATGCCCGAGACCCCCGCCAGACACGTCCAAACCAGCCCCAAATCCATTTTTTTCTCCCCTACTAGGTTTATCTCGTGACTTTCTAGAGGTCCGTGCGCCTCAGAAAGTTGTATATTAGAGTACGCTCTCGCTCGCGCGACTTGGCGAGCGAGCGCGACTTAGCGTTGGAGCGAGGCGTGCAAGGGAGGGTAACATGTTATATAAGCAGATTTAATCAATCAAAATCAAACGCGCGGAGGACGCACAGACGCACAGACGGCGCACGTCCTGAGTCGAGGCGTAGGCGGAGGACGCACACACGCACAGGCGCACACACGCACAGGCGCACACACGCACACAGTGCCACGTCGCGTCGTGTATACGCTCCACTCAATCGAAGCCTTGCTCGGTTGACCAAGCCAGCTTTGCTCATCTTCCTCCTTTCCGCCTTGCTTCCGCCTCCTGCCCAGTCACTCCTTCATCTCGCCCACCAATCAACTCCGTCCTTGTTACCTTCACCCTTGTCTCTTCTGTTCTCACCCATGGCTGGATCGGTTCTGTTAGCGTTAGCGTGGGCGGCGCCAAGAAGCTCTTCAAAGGCAACGAGCCCACCGAGGAGCTGCCCAACGCTGCCTCCAGTGCCATCCGCCAACAACCTCCCTGTTAGTAAGCACACAACCTCGCAACCTGCAGCAAACACGCAAAGCTCGCCAGCCAAGTGGCCACCGTCGCTGCCGGTAGCAAGCTCGATGTGTTCTGGCAGACGCTCACGGGCTCCGGCTTCTGGTTCCATGATGTTGGTCCCATGATGGCCTATATGGCGGACTGTGGCGGCAATTGTGCTCAATTTGACGCCAGCAAGGCCAAGTGGTTCAAAATACAAGAACAGGGCATGGATGCGAGCGGTAAATGGGCTCAGGCAAACCTTGGTGTGTCGAATCCCATCCTCATGTTAAATCTCGTTTTGACTCACCGCTCCAAATAGACAATGGCTCTCCAGCGACCGTAACCATTCCGGCGAACCTCAAGGCGGGCAATTATCTCCTCCGACACGAAATCATCGCCCTCCACACTGCGCAGTCTCAAGGCGGTGCAGAGTTTTACCCTGGCTGTGTGCAGCTCAGTGTCACTGGCGCAGGCAAGGGTGTGCCAAGCGACAGCGAGACCGTCAAGCTTCCTAGCGCATACAAACCGACTGACGCTGGGATCCTCATTGACGTGCGGCCATTCATCATGCTTATTCGCTGTACTAACCCGTCCCCATCACCAGGTCTATAACATGAAGGGCGCCTACAAATTTCCAGGCCCAGCCGTGGCCTCTTTCATTGGTGGTGGATCTCCGGCCCCAGCACAGGGTGGCTCTGATGATAACACTACCGAGAAGCCGTCCTCCCCCGCCACCACAAAGAAGAGCACTTCCCCTCCTGCAAGCTCTACCACCAAGAAAGCTTCGTCTCCGGCTTCCTCTACCACGAGTGTCGCATCCGCGGTACCGACGAAATCTGGCTCAGCTTCCTGTCGGGCGAAACGTTCCCACCACCGCCGTCAAGAGGTTGTCGATGTCCGCGAGGAAGTCCGTCGTTCCCGGGTTCGCCACATGCATCGGGCTGGCGTTGCCCGTTCCTTCTGAGCACAGTTTTGCCATTGTTCCACCACAACCCCCGATTACTCCGTCCACATTATCTCCGACTCCCCCCCCAACAACTCCCGTCCATCCTTTACATGACCACGTCCCCAGACAGCACTGTCTCTTCTTGATACGAACCCGCTTTCCGACCCTTGCTTTGCACCTGCTCTCGTACCACGACCGTATCGCCAGGACGCGATGCTTGTAGTGCAGCCAGTCCTGCGCGCTTATGTACCTATCTTGATGCTTCGATAGTATTACCTTCGAGCTGGGCCCCATGTACTAGCATACAGGGCTAGAATCGAATCCTAGTTTTGATTTAGACTCAGTGTGGACAGCCTTTGGGGCTGAAGGAGCAACAGTTCAGAAATGTTGTCAATTGATTTTTCGGTGAGATACACAAGTTCCAGCGAATATACGAGCTCCAACTCCAGTATCTTGAATTAAGGTCAGCCTCGGCTTAATACGAACAAAGAAAAAAGACATACCACTTCCCGCCTGCATCGAGCGCGATGCCGCTATAACGCTGAGTGACGGATGTCGAGCGCGACCTGTGTATCAAGGTCAGCTTGGGGTAAATACGGAAAAAGCGCGAGATAACATACGACCAGGCGACAGTGAACCACATCCCGGCGTCATTCGTGCAGCGCAAGAGCCACCCGGCTCAGCAAGACAAAAAGAACATCCCCCCGCGTTTTGCGAGCTCTCCAGCAAGCGCATCCACCAACAGCTTGTATTAAGGTCAGCTGGGGTTAAATACAATGAGAGAGCGACCAGAGACTGACCATCATCGAGCGCGAGGGCCGGTGTCCAGCAAGAACTGGGAGTTTGCTTCAGTTTCGCCCGACTTGAGTCAAAGACATGTACGCACCAGCAACTCCGCTCACGTTTGCCCTTCGACAAGGTGAGGCTACGGACAATAGCCATAAAAGACCGCGGCAGTGTCCACACGGCTGCGACGAACGATAAGTAAGATGCAAAGCGAAGCAAAAGGAAAGTCTCACCTCTTAGCATACCGCTGGCCAAACAACCAGCACTTTCACCGAGGCGTGCTAGTGCTGCAGCTGCGTCCCCGGCAACTACGAGACCCGCGGCCCGCCAGAGTGCGAGCGCGAGTACCATCCGCAATGGCCCGCTCGCTAACCCAGTGGACGCCAGACAAGCTAAACGACATGGCGGGCAAGACGAAGGAGCGTGGGACCACAACCGGCCGGCCGGGCGCGAGGCCCGGGCACGTGTCGCTGACCACCCTTGCCCGCTAGCCCACCGACGGACCTGCCCATGGCCTGGCCCGAGCTACGTCTTTGGCCGGCGCGCGGAAGCGCTCCAAGTCGGCAAGCAGGACGGCCGCGAGCACTCAACTCGCACAACCACTAAGTAATAACAAATCAACAAAAGTCTCCCCGGCAGCTCAAAGCCGACCTTCCGCACTCGACCAGCATCACGGGCGGCTGCCTGTAGCCTTCCCCGAACCACTGCCGCCGCCGATTCCCGCCGAATCAACGTCGCTAACGAGAAGTCAGTCGGGGAACAGCGAGAAAGAGAAAAGACGCACGACACGCGGGGAACGATGCGGCCTCTGCGGCAACACAATGCCGCCCTCCCGCGATCGACCAGCTTCACTGGAAGCTATCTCCCGAGCCGCTGCCGCTCCCGATTCGCGCCAAATTGGCTATGCTAACTTGAATGTAGAGTCAGTGGATGAGAAAGCGGGAGGCAGAAACCACGCACGACAAGGGAGACGCAGAGGAGACCTGTCCATCGCGATAGCGCAGAATGTACAGCACGACCTTGGGCTTAAGGTAAGCTTGGCCTAAATACGGAAAATGACCGAGAGGACTTACTGACAACAGCACACCCTCCCAACGTTCCGCATCCAGCGCGAATGCCCGCATCGTCAACGCGGAGCAGAATCTGTGGGTTCTGGGTCAGCTTTGCCCAATTTGAAAGATAAATGAGCATGATATGCCCCCGCTCACGTTGAGTGAACACGCAATAGCGCAGAATGTAGAGCACGACCTTGGGATTAAGGTAAGCTTGGGCTAACTACGAAAAATGACCGAGATGACTTACCAGACAACATGACATCCTCCCGCCGTCATTCGTGAGTTCCGCACCCAGCGCGTTCGGCGCAAATGCCCTGCATGGTCGACATGGAGCAGAAACTAGAAGTCGGGTCAGTTTTTCCCTAGTTTGAAAGGTATTCTCCTGCTCACGTTGGCGATTGAGCGATCGCGCGTGGAGGAATCTGCACAGCTTGGTCAGAAATATGGGCAGCAAAGTAGCTCTTGCGCAAACTTGGACCGAGAAATTCAGAGCAGTCGGATGCCCGATGTTGATCAAGAACCTGCAATTAGGTCAGTTTTGGCCAAAGCGGGCCAAGGAGCAAGACGGCCTACCGGTCCCGCTCGCAGAAGGAATAAATCGAGCTCATCTGCAACGCAAGCACCACTGACTCGGACGCAAAGGTTAGCCATGTCAAAATGGGCACAAAACAGCAAGAACATCGAGGTTTGTCGACGAGCAGGCCATCTAGGACAACCAAAGGCCCTCGCTCTTCAATACTATTCACGGCACTAACAAACAGTTAGAAAGCTTTTCGACAACGATGTTAAGGACACTCACGAGGGAGTTGAAACCGGGCGACAAGGCCAGAGGGCTGACCATATAGATATATGTATTGTCTAAGCGAAGACAATATCAGCAACGTTCAATCGTGATATCTGCAGACAAAGAAACTTACATACCATGCTTGAACAACGCAATGCTTTCTTGTAATTGGCGGACAACGATGCTTCTGGCCCAACTAGCACGGAAGTTTCTGATTCGCGACACAGGCTAGAGAAATTTGGATAAGATCGATAGAAATTGGAAGGGAGATGACACACCTTTGACAACGACAACAACGATAGCGACAGCAAATAGAACAACCTTGTTTGAGGCAGAAGACATAGAGTGACTGCAACAGGGTCACCGAAAGCAGAAGAGTCAACGAAGAGAACTCACCGACACCAGCATTGCTATCCAAGAGCCGTCCAGAAGCGAAGACAGTGGTCGAGTACCATGTGGGCAAGGGCTTGAGCAAGTGTTCAGGATAGTGTGAAAGAAAGAGTAGGTAGTAGACTCACCGGAGTGGACCGAGCCATGATGCGTGCCCATTCGCATAAACGCTTGAAGATCTAAAGTCCTGCGAGATGTAAGTAAAGCGTGAGAAACAGTGATATACAGCGTACCTGGGAGCAGTGTAGAGCTTGCTGAGGGCGTTGGTGTTGGCGTCGGCATGGGCACGGGCTTAAAGGAAGTGCTTCTACTAAGTAGTGGTCAGCATGCTGTCGCAAACCAGAAACGTGCACGTGAGACATACCACGGCCCGGACAGGCTCCCTTTGCACTATCCCAAGGTCGGCCACTGCCCGCCACTGCCGACAGTCGCGTCAGAGGGTGGAGCGATTTCGATCGTGTTGGTTGGTTGAAAGTCGGGCGGGCACAGCCTCACACGGGTCGATCGATCACACGCTGACAGCGGCCTTACGAAAATTTCCCTCACACCCTCACTGTCCCCGACGATGGCGCCTCCGCCTCGGGGCCTCAGACGCTCAAGACACGGCCTTTACGCTGCCGCACATGACACGGCGGGCAACCCAGCCATCACGCTCGCAATCTCAAAATCTAACGGCAAAAACCATCCTCCGCCTCCCGCCAACACCTGCACCAGCCACCAAGACCATCGCCATGCTGCCGGTGACCATTGAGCGAGAACGGCCAGCGCTATCCAGACGCGGCAACTCGGCAGCTGCTGCTTTTCGCCAAAGATATCCAAACGAAGCCGTTTGTCGGCAGGAGGTAGCCGCCAACGCCAAACCAGGCTCGCTCGACACGTCCCTTGCCGCCAATGACTCCGCACCCATCTCCAAGGCTCTGCAAAATAAGGTCAGCGCTTCAATGTAGAGTCAAGTCGGCCAGAACACGTACCCCCTTGGATCGCAAAATCACCCTCCTCGACGACGACACCTTCCCAGCTCCATAAAACAAGTCCCGACCTAAAGCGACGGCATCAGTGAAATAAAAAGTCTACGACACCCTTCTGTGCTCGCAAAAGCAAGTCAAGGACAACGATCGATTCTGTATATCTTAAGGTCAGTATTGGCAAAAGTCGCGGTAACAAGGCTTACCTCGAGAATTAGACCGTCCTCCCAATACGAACGCCCACGTCATTGTCGTCTGCCATAATGTCAAGCTCGATCTGGGTCAAAATTGGGGAGAGGGAGGAAGTGGAGGCGAGTTCTGCGATGCGGTTAGCGAGGGGGACAAGAGATGGCAAAAAGTGGACGAACTCTGACCAGAAACAACTTTCCCAACGCTGACCAACAAATGGGCGGACTGCGCGAAGACTCTGCAACAAGGTCAGTAAAGTGAAAAGCAGTAACAAAACTTACCTTGACAATTAGACCGTTGATTTCGATCCAAATGCCCATCTCGTTGTCGTCTGCCAACAAGTTAGGCTTGAAATGGGTTAGAAGCGGGGGAGGGAGTGGAGGGGAGCTCTGCCAGGCGGTCAGTAAGGAGGGCAAGGTAAAGCAGAAGGTGAACGGACGGCTACCCAACCCAAGAGCTGTCGAGGGCGAAGAAGATTCTGCAACAAGGTTAGCAAAGAAGCGAAGGATAAGTAGCACATGCAAGTAGAGGCCGATGTGCGGGCGGATAGGATGTTGACTAGAAGTAGTTAGTAGTATGAATGGAGGAAGAGTGCCCACAAGAGGACGACGACGACGCGAAAGAGCACGTGAAGTTGACTTTGGGTGGATGGTGGGGGAAGAAAGAGGGGGAGGTGCGCGATGGTTGAAGGCCGGGGCTTCTTATACTCCCTCGGTGACATACACCGCCCGGGCTGGATGCTTTCGTTATCTTCGCAAAATGCTGAGTGATTAAGTTTGGAATGAGAAGATGTTAGTTGACGACGGCTAAGCGAGCTATTTTGAGTGCCGCACTGGTTGAAGGATGTCCTTGCGAGTATGTCTGAGTCAAAAACCTGGATAGATTGAGCTCGTCACGGGCATGAAATCTAGATGTGAGGAAAACATGAACTCAGCGGAAGCTTGGTCAACTGGGCACTTGGGAGACGCAAATAAACGCGTCAAAACTCACGCAACGGATCGATCTGTCAAGTGGGGGCAGTGCGGTAGTTGACTTCTCAGCCCGTGCTTCATAACACGGGCATCAATGTGGGCAACATGAATCATTTGGGAAGATCGTATATTTCCGCCGTCGCGCAAGAAATCGGACAGCCATTCAGGGTAGGGCTGAGTGACCCTGACACTTTGACGTCTTTGATCGGACGAAATAGCCCCCAGCCGTCGAGACGATGCAGGATTTTGTAGATTTGCGTTTTTGCTCGAATAGTTTAGCATCGCGAGCGTGGATAAGGGTCGGACGCAGTGGATTACTTGGGGGTAGCTGTCATCTAAAAATAGTCTGAATTGAGCCCATGTGCAAGTGTCAAGGGCGACGAGTCCGAGCCCTACCGGGTGAATTGCCTGATTTGGTGGTGGATGTGAGCAGCTGATGGCGACACCAAACTGCGCGCTCAAGAAGAACGCGCACCGCGCAAAAATTGGCGTATGGCGCGCTGAAAAGGCGTCTATTTCGGTGTCAAATGATATCAAAATTGGAGAAAAAAGGAATTTCTCACTGTGTTGCGCAAATAAAAGATTTGAACAGCACGAGAGAAAAACCCCCAGAGAACAACAAGCCAGCTGGGCAAGGAGAACATATCTGGCCACCCAGCACGGCTATTCATGTTGTCATCATCCGGCCTGTCAGCCGTAATCTTCATTTCCTGTCTGCCGTGCTTCTCAAGTTCTATCATAATAAGACCCTGAGTGCACTGCCTGTGCTCCATCGGCGGCGTTTGTTTCCCTGAGCCCCGGCGGCATTCGATTCCCTGAGCGGCATCAGGGTATGTGGCCAAAAATAGCTTGGTCTAAATTCCGCACATTACGCTTCAAGTCAAGTATCTTTGTCATCATTGCCCCCCATAGGCTTGCAACCTTTCCTCTCAGCATGCCCGCTCACGACTCAAAAGGCCCTCATCAACCTGGGGAGCATGACCAGGCCGCTGGCCGCATCAATGACAGGCCATCCCCGAAGGCAACCTGCGATCCAGCACATCAAAGCCGCCCGCCATTTCGGACATGGCTCAAAAATAGTCCGCAGACCAACCACCCCTTGAACCCTCCTTCCGATGTGCCGCACCCCGCATGGTCATGATGCGCCATCGATACTCATCATCATGCATAGTCCGCCCTTTGGCATTCAAGGCACCAGCACGGGCAGTCAATTTTAGCCCCACCACCTGCAAACCATTCGCCGTGCCGTTGATTCGCCGACCCTGAATCGGTGACAGCGTGCTTGACACCGGTGATGTGACGTGATTTCCGTGGAGAAATCAAATCATCAACCAAGTCATGCGCTACTTCCTGGCTTGTCTTCACTCCCCCACCACGACGCTTGTCGACACATCCCCCATCAACAAAGGTATGCTCGTTGGTGTCCCGTCACTGCTCTCGCTCATCGCAACCCCTACAGCAACTTCTTCGTCACCCTACTCAACCTTCAAGTCGGGCATTTCGTGACTGTACAAGAAATCCCGGTTAGCAACCTGGCGGTTCTTCGACCATCCAAGGCCATTTTCTGCCTCCCGTACGTGTCTTAGCTGTAAACTTGGCAGGGTTCTGACCTGTTTGACAGACGGAACTCGTTGTGTTTATTGACCAACAACGACCACCAAAACTCCTTCAAGCCTGCCTCCTAGCAAGTTCAGGTGGACGTCTTGGGCAGCACCTGTAGGTATGTATTCCTTCTCCATAAGCTCTGGCCTGCCTCACACCGTGCTAGTTTCTAGTCGGTCGGATGGGGAACTTCTGCTCGATGTTCTGCTTCATCTAGGCGTCGCTGCCGCTGCTTCTACTGGCGCTGGCTTTTGGTCTTGTTGGTATGTTTTTCCCTTTATCATATTGTGTACAGTACACTAACATATCGATCAGATTGTCGTCACGGGTGGCTACCCAATTTCTCGCCAGAGGGTGAACCTCTGCTTGGACGCCGAAAATCTTCTCCGTAAGTTGTATTTGCTCTTAACATGATAAGTGACTAATGTCCGACTTAGCCTCCGGCTGGTGTTCTTATCGATCGTGAACCGCAACGGGAGGAAACTATGCCATGGCGGCACGTGCTCCTTCCGCTTGTATCTGGTGGGGAACCTTGCTTGCGTGCGGAACTCCGGTATGTCCTTCCTCTATCCTATCTGGGATAAGACATTGACGTTCTGACTTAGATACATGGTTGTTATTGGCTTCCGAGACGGTGAACCTCTGCTCGGACAATTATTGCTGCTCGTAAGTTGACTCCGCCAAGTATGTATCGTATGGTATTGACGATGACCCAGTGTTGTTGTCAACCATGACTGCGACTATGTCAAGAGGGGGAACCTCTGCTCGGGCTGTCCGTAAGTCGTTGCGCTTATGTGTATATGATGTCATGCTAATGCCGGGCTTAGATTCCTTGTCATTGTCAACAAGGCAACGTTGCTGCACTAGCCAAAGTATGTCCGTTCATTGCTTATATATATATGCTGACTGCCTATTCAGAGCTCGCTACCCGTCTTCGACCAGAGGGGGAACCTCTGCTCGTATGCCCAGACCATCATTGGCCGCCATCCATCCGACACCTACCATTGTGCGCAGGACCGACCACGACTATGACGTTGTTTAGAGGGGCAACCTCTGTTCGGGCAGCGTGTAAGTGGTCGCGCTTAGTCGTGTGATATAATGCTGATGCTGATGTGGGGCTTAGATTCCTGGTCGAGGCGGGGTTGCTATGAGGCGCCAGAGGGGGAACCTCTGCTCGGATGCCGAACCATGCTGGTACGTTGTGATTTCATTTGTTCTGCTAAATGTCACTGATGTTGTGTCCAGATGCGCTATATTGCTTCTGTGCCGGACTTCCCGGGCAGTATCTTGGCCGTTTTTGGGCTGCACTTAGCGCTTACGTAAGCACATTTGGCTGATCTTTTGATGGTCAAAAAGCTCATTTTTTTCACAGATTTTCACTGCCAGAGGCAGATGTACCGCCCGACTGCGGGGCTTCCGGCGACGGTGCTCGGTTTTGATCGACAACTGGTTGGCCGATGGTGCCGCCGCCCTCGGCATCGGTCGGATCTGATGCCATCATCAGATTTTGATGGTATTTTTAGGTGCATTTTGACCCACTTTTAACTGAATTCAAGGCTCACTTTTTCATAGGGTTTTGCCGCCGGAGGCATGTGTTACCGCCTGGCCATCAACCATGTCGGCACAGTGGGGCCACCACTGTTGCTGGCCGGGAGTATCTTGGTCATCGCCTACTGCCTCCGGCTTTCCCGACTTTACTCGGGCCTCCCGCATCATGCTCTGCGGTGCCTGTCGGCCATCCTGCCGATGACCATGAACGATATCGGCCACCACTGTTGCTGCTCGCCTATTGGCTTTGTCATTGGCTACCCAGTGTTCGCAGCCACATTGCGGCCACTTTTTCTACTACCTGCTCTCGCAACACCCGGTCATCGCCAGCCTCGATTGGCTCACCCGCACCACGTTCTGTGCTGGCCCCCGAGTTGTTGGCCTCCATCACATTACCCCTCGGCCATCTCACCCCGACATCGGCGTCCATTCATCTTACACCCTCTATCCTTGTCGCCCCGCAGCACACTTACCCCCCCCGGCCATACCCGGCCTACCCCCGCCTTACTTGATTCGACAATGCCACTATCTGCGCTGGCCGCCAAGTTGTCACATAGGTCTTCCATTGCCTTGGCCGTCCGGCCTTCCGAGTCCGGCCTTCTTCGATATTCCCACGTGGCAGCGAAGTCATCCTCGCCGTCGTTTGACCCCGACCTGTCCCCGACCCTCGCGTCCGCCTGCAGGGTTGCTCACCGCTGGCCTTCAACGCTACGCTCTGCGCTGGGCGGTGCCGGGTTGTTGCTTGCCCTTTAACACATACTCCATGGGCTTTGCCGTCCCGACTCCCGCCTCCGAGTCCGGCCTTGACATTCGGAGTCCCTGCCCTGGCTCCGACTGGTCGCGCCTTATCGCGGCATCCCGCACGGTCAAGCAACCTCCCTTCCGCAATGGTATCCCCTTGCTGGCGGACATGCGCACATCAACGACGTTTTGCGCCGATTCTGATGGAGTTTCAAGGTGCATTTTCCACCTCTTTTGCGCGATTCAAAGCTTACCTTTTCACAGGTCCACGCCGCCGGCAGGCATACGTCCTGCCCTACTCGGAACACTACCAGGACAGTGTTGGACCACTGTCTTGCGCGGGGAAGAACCTTGACGCGCGTCCGCGGCGCTTTTGATGGCACTCCGGAGGGTACATTTTGCGTCTTTTTTGTGCAATTCAAGCTCACTTTTTTCACAGGTCTGCGCTGCCGGGCAGGCAAACGTCCCGCCCTACTTGCAACGCAGCCGGGACAGTGTGGGACCACTGTCTTTCGCGGGACGTGTTCGGGGGGTGACGGAAACTTTGCGCCGACCTGTTGCTGGAGAGCCCCCGCGGCGGTTTTGATGGCACTTTGGTGGAGGTGCATTTTTACCCCCGTTTTGCGTGCTTCAAGCTCATTTTTTCACAGGTCTCAGCCGCCGGAGGCCTGCGAACCGCTGGACTATCAACGCGCCCGGGACAGTGTTGCCCACTGTCGTTGACTTGGGCTATGTGGTGGAAATGGGGACTTGGGTTAGACGCGTCGCGACGCGTGTTAAATTAGCGCGCCTCGATGTACCTCTTAAAATAGAATTCCACCTTGTTCTCTGCTACCTATGCTTGCCCGGACTGCCCGAGAATGAGTAGCACCTTGTCTCCCCCAAACCATGCCCGAGACCCCCGCCAGACACGTCCAAACCAGCCCCAAATCCATTTTTTTCTCCCCTACTAGGTTTATCTCGTGACTTTCTAGAGGTCCGTGCGCCTCAGAAAGTTGTATATTAGAGTACGCTCTCGCTCGCGCGACTTGGCGAGCGAGCGCGACTTAGCGTTGGAGCGAGGCGTGCAAGGGAGGGTAACATGTTATATAAGCAGATTTAATCAATCAAAATCAAACGCGCGGAGGACGCACAGACGCACAGACGGCGCACGTCCTGAGTCGAGGCGTAGGCGGAGGACGCACACACGCACAGGCGCACACACGCACAGGCGCACACACGCACACAGTGCCACGTCGCGTCGTGTATACGCTCCACTCAATCGAAGCCTTGCTCGGTTGACCAAGCCAGCTTTGCTCATCTTCCTCCTTTCCGCCTTGCTTCCGCCTCCTGCCCAGTCACTCCTTCATCTCGCCCACCAATCAACTCCGTCCTTGTTACCTTCACCCTTGTCTCTTCTGTTCTCACCCATGGCTGGATCGGTTCTGTTAGCGTTAGCGTGGGCGGCGCCAAGAAGCTCTTCAAAGGCAACGAGCCCACCGAGGAGCTGCCCAACGCTGCCTCCAGTGCCATCCGCCAACAACCTCCCTGTTAGTAAGCACACAACCTCGCAACCTGCAGCAAACACGCAAAGCTCGCCAGCCAAGTGGCCACCGTCGCTGCCGGTAGCAAGCTCGATGTGTTCTGGCAGACGCTCACGGGCTCCGGCTTCTGGTTCCATGATGTTGGTCCCATGATGGCCTATATGGCGGACTGTGGCGGCAATTGTGCTCAATTTGACGCCAGCAAGGCCAAGTGGTTCAAAATACAAGAACAGGGCATGGATGCGAGCGGTAAATGGGCTCAGGCAAACCTTGGTGTGTCGAATCCCATCCTCATGTTAAATCTCGTTTTGACTCACCGCTCCAAATAGACAATGGCTCTCCAGCGACCGTAACCATTCCGGCGAACCTCAAGGCGGGCAATTATCTCCTCCGACACGAAATCATCGCCCTCCACACTGCGCAGTCTCAAGGCGGTGCAGAGTTTTACCCTGGCTGTGTGCAGCTCAGTGTCACTGGCGCAGGCAAGGGTGTGCCAAGCGACAGCGAGACCGTCAAGCTTCCTAGCGCATACAAACCGACTGACGCTGGGATCCTCATTGACGTGCGGCCATTCATCATGCTTATTCGCTGTACTAACCCGTCCCCATCACCAGGTCTATAACATGAAGGGCGCCTACAAATTTCCAGGCCCAGCCGTGGCCTCTTTCATTGGTGGTGGATCTCCGGCCCCAGCACAGGGTGGCTCTGATGATAACACTACCGAGAAGCCGTCCTCCCCCCGCCACCACAAAGAAGAGCACTTCCCCTCCTGCAAGCTCTACCACCAAGAAAGCTTCGTCTCCGGCTTCCTCTACCACGAGTGTCGCATCCGCGGTACCGACGAAATCTGGCTCAGCTTCCTGTCGGGCGAAACGTTCCCACCACCGCCGTCAAGAGGTTGTCGATGTCCGCGAGGAAGTCCGTCGTTCCCGGGTTCGCCACATGCATCGGGCTGGCGTTGCCCGTTCCTTCTGAGCACAGTTTTGCCATTGTTCCACCACAACCCCCGATTACTCCGTCCACATTATCTCCGACTCCCCTCCCCAACAACTCCCGTCCATCCTTTACATGACCACGTCCCCAGACAGCACTGTCTCTTCTTGATACGAACCCGCTTTCCGACCCTTGCTTTGCACCTGCTCTCGTACCACGACCGTATCGCCAGGACGCGATGCTTGTAGTGCAGCCAGTCCTGCGCGCTTATGTACCTATCTTGATGCTTCGATAGTATTACCTTCGAGCTGGGCCCCATGTACTAGCATACAGGGCTAGAATCGAATCCTAGTTTTGATTTAGACTCAGTGTGGACAGCCTTTGGGGCTGAAGGAGCAACAGTTCAGAAATGTTGTCAATTGATTTTTCGGTGAGATACACAAGTTCCAGCGAATATACGAGCTCCAACTCCAGTATCTTGAATTAAGGTCAGCCTCGGCTTAATACGAACAAAGAAAAAAGACATACCACTTCCCGCCTGCATCGAGCGCGATGCCGCTATAACGCTGAGTGACGGATGTCGAGCGCGACCTGTGTATCAAGGTCAGCTTGGGGTAAATACGGAAAAAGCGCGAGATAACATACGACCAGGCGACAGTGAACCACATCCCGGCGTCATTCGTGCAGCGCAAGAGCCACCCGGCTCAGCAAGACAAAAAGAACATCCCCCCGCGCGTTTGCGAGCTCTCCAGCAAGCGCATCCACCAACAGCTTGTATTAAGGTCAGCTGGGGTTAAATACAATGAGAGAGCGACCAGAGACTGACCATCATCGAGCGCGAGGGCCGGTGTCCAGCAAGAACTGGGAGTTTGCTTCAGTTTCGCCCGACTTGAGTCAAAGACATGTACGCACCAGCAACTCCGCTCACGTTTGCCCTTCGACAAGGTGAGGCTACGGACAATAGCCATAAAAGACCGCGGCAGTGTCCACACGGCTGCGACGAACGATAAGTAAGATGCAAAGCGAAGCAAAAGGAAAGTCTCACCTCTTAGCATACCGCTGGCCAAACAACCAGCACTTTCACCGAGGCGTGCTAGTGCTGCAGCTGCGTCCCCGGCAACTACGAGACCCGCGGCCCGCCAGAGTGCGAGCGCGAGTACCATCCGCAATGGCCCGCTCGCTAACCCAGTGGACGCCAGACAAGCTAAACGACATGGCGGGCAAGACGAAGGAGCGTGGGACCACAACCGGCCGGCCGGGCGCGAGGCCCGGCACGTGTCGCTGACCACCCTTGCCCGCTAGCCCACCGACGGACCTGCCCATGGCCTGGCCCGAGCTACGTCTTTGGCCGGCGCGCGGAAGCGCTCCAAGTCGGCAAGCAGGACGGCCGCGAGCACTCAACTCGCACAACCACTAAGTAATAACAAATCAACAAAAGTCTCCCCGGCAGCTCAAAGCCGACCTTCCGCACTCGACCAGCATCACGGGCGGCTGCCTGTAGCCTTCCCCGAACCACTGCCGCCGCCGATTCCCGCCGAATCAACGTCGCTAACGAGAAGTCAGTCGGGGAACAGCGAGAAAGAGAAAAGACGCACGACACGCGGGGAACGATGCGGCCTCTGCGGCAACACAATGCCGCCCTCCCGCGATCGACCAGCTTCACTGGAAGCTATCTCCCGAGCCGCTGCCGCTCCCGATTCGCGCCAAATTGGCTATGCTAACTTGAATGTAGAGTCAGTGGATGAGAAAGCGGGAGGCAGAAACCACGCACGACAAGGGAGACGCAGAGGAGACCTGTCCATCGCGATAGCGCAGAATGTACAGCACGACCTTGGGCTTAAGGTAAGCTTGGCCTAAATACGGAAAATGACCGAGAGGACTTACTGACAACAGCACACCCTCCCAACGTTCCGCATCCAGCGCGAATGCCCGCATCGTCAACGCGGAGCAGAATCTGTGGGTTCTGGGTCAGCTTTGCCCAATTTGAAAGATAAATGAGCATGATATGCCCCCGCTCACGTTGAGTGAACACGCAATAGCGCAGAATGTAGAGCACGACCTTGGGATTAAGGTAAGCTTGGGCTAACTACGAAAAATGACCGAGATGACTTACCAGACAACATGACATCCTCCCGCCGTCATTCGTGAGTTCCGCACCCAGCGTTCGGCGCAAATGCCCTGCATGGTCGACATGGAGCAGAAACTAGAAGTCGGGTCAGTTTTTCCCTAGTTTGAAAGGTATTCTCCTGCTCACGTTGGCGATTGAGCGATCGCGCGTGGAGGAATCTGCACAGCTTGGTCAGAAATATGGGCAGCAAAGTAGCTCTTGCGCAAACTTGGACCGAGAAATTCAGAGCAGTCGGATGCCCGATGTTGATCAAGAACCTGCAATTAGGTCAGTTTTGGCCAAAGCGGGCCAAGGAGCAAGACGGCCTACCGGTCCCGCTCGCAGAAGGAATAAATCGAGCTCATCTGCAACGCAAGCACCACTGACTCGGACGCAAAGGTTAGCCATGTCAAAATGGGCACAAAACAGCAAGAACATCGAGGTTTGTCGACGAGCAGGCCATCTAGGACAACCAAAGGCCCTCGCTCTTCAATACTATTCACGGCACTAACAAACAGTTAGAAAGCTTTTCGACAACGATGTTAAGGACACTCACGAGGGAGTTGAAACCGGGCGACAAGGCCAGAGGGCTGACCATATAGATATATGTATTGTCTAAGCGAAGACAATATCAGCAACGTTCAATCGTGATATCTGCAGACAAAGAAACTTACATACCATGCTTGAACAACGCAATGCTTTCTTGTAATTGGCGGACAACGATGCTTCTGGCCCAACTAGCACGGAAGTTTCTGATTCGCGACACAGGCTAGAGAAATTTGGATAAGATCGATAGAAATTGGAAGGGAGATGACACACCTTTGACAACGACAACAACGATAGCGACAGCAAATAGAACAACCTTGTTTGAGGCAGAAGACATAGAGTGACTGCAACAGGGTCACCGAAAGCAGAAGAGTCAACGAAGAGAACTCACCGACACCAGCATTGCTATCCAAGAGCCGTCCAGAAGCGAAGACAGTGGTCGAGTACCATGTGGGCAAGGGCTTGAGCAAGTGTTCAGGATAGTGTGAAAGAAAGAGTAGGTAGTAGACTCACCGGAGTGGACCGAGCCATGATGCGTGCCCATTCGCATAAACGCTTGAAGATCTAAAGTCCTGCGAGATGTAAGTAAAGCGCGTGAGAAACAGTGATATACAGCGTACCTGGGAGCAGTGTAGAGCTTGCTGAGGGCGTTGGTGTTGGCGTCGGCATGGGCACGGGCTTAAAGGAAGTGCTTCTACTAAGTAGTGGTCAGCATGCTGTCGCAAACCAGAAACGTGCACGTGAGACATACCACGGCCCGGACAGGCTCCCTTTGCACTATCCCAAGGTCGGCCACTGCCCGCCACTGCCGACAGTCGCGTCAGAGGGTGGAGCGATTTCGATCGTGTTGGTTGGTTGAAAGTCGGGCGGGCACAGCCTCACACGGGTCGATCGATCACACGCTGACAGCGGCCTTACGAAAATTTCCCTCACACCCTCACTGTCCCCGACGATGGCGCCTCCGCCTCGGGGCCTCAGACGCTCAAGACACGGCCTTTACGCTGCCGCACATGACACGGCGGGCAACCCAGCCATCACGCCGCAATCTCAAAATCTAACGGCAAAAACCATCCTCCGCCTCCCGCCAACACCTGCACCAGCCACCAAGACCATCGCCATGCTGCCGGTGACCATTGAGCGAGAACGGCCAGCGCTATCCAGACGCGGCAACTCGGCAGCTGCTGCTTTTCGCCAAAGATATCCAAACGAAGCCGTTTGTCGGCAGGAGGTAGCCGCCAACGCCAAACCAGGCTCGCTCGACACGTCCCCTTGCCGCCAATGACTCCGCACCCATCTCCAAGGCTCTGCAAAATAAGGTCAGCGCTTCAATGTAGAGTCAAGTCGGCCAGAACACGTACCCCCTTGGATCGCAAAATCACCCTCCTCGACGACGACACCTTCCCAGCTCCATAAAACAAGTCCCGACCTAAAGCGACGGCATCAGTGAAATAAAAAGTCTACGACACCCTTCTGTGCTCGCAAAAGCAAGTCAAGGACAACGATCGATTCTGTATATCTTAAGGTCAGTATTGGCAAAAGTCGCGGTAACAAGGCTTACCTCGAGAATTAGACCGTCCTCCCAATACGAACGCCCACGTCATTGTCGTCTGCCATAATGTCAAGCTCGATCTGGGTCAAAATTGGGGAGAGGGAGGAAGTGGAGGCGAGTTCTGCGATGCGGTTAGCGAGGGGGACAAGAGATGGCAAAAAGTGGACGAACTCTGACCAGAAACAACTTTCCCAACGCTGACCAACAAATGGGCGGACTGCGCGAAGACTCTGCAACAAGGTCAGCGTGAAAAGCAGTAACAAAACTTACCTCGACAATTAGACCGTTGTTTCGATCCAAATGCCCATCTCGTTGTCGTCTGCCAACAAGTTAGGCTCGAAATGGGTTAGAAGCGGGGGAGGGAGTGGAGGGGAGCTCTGCCAGGCGGTCAGCAAGGAGGGCAAGATAAAGCAGAAGGTGAACGGACGGCTACCCAACCCAAGAGCTGTCGAGGGCGAAGAAGATTCTGCAACAAGGTTAGCAAAGAAGCGAAGGATAAGTAGCACATGCAAGTAGAGGCCGATGTGCGACGGCGGGATAGGATGTTGACTAGAAGTAGTTAGTAGTATGAATGGAGGAAAGAGTGCCCACCAAGCAGGACGACGACGAGCGAAGAGCACGTGAAGTTGACTTTGGGTGGATGGTGGGGGGAAGAAAGAGGGGGGAGGTGCGCGACGGTTGAAGGCCGTGGCTTCTTATACTCCCTCGGTGACGTACACCGCCCGGGCTGGATGCTTTCGTTATCTTCGCAAAATGCTGAGTGATTAAGTTTGGAATGAGAAGATGTTAGTTGACGACGGCTAAGCGAGCTATTTTGAGTGCCGCACTGGTTGAAGGATGTCCTTGCGAGTATGTCTGAGTCAAAACCTGGATAGATTGAGCTCGTCACGGGCATGAAATCTAGATGTGAGGAAAACATGAACTCAGCGGAAGCTTGGTCAACTGGGCACTTGGGAGACGCAAATAAACGCGTCAAAACTCACGCAACGGATCGATCTGTCAAGTGGGGGCAGTGCGGTAGTTGACTTCTCAGCCCGTGCTTCATA